CCGGGCTGGAAGGTGGAGTGCGTGGGCGACGACATCGCCTGGATGAAGTTCGATGCGCAAGGTGAGAGGAGGTGGACTCGGCTCTCCGCTCGACGTCGCGCCCGCTCACCCGCCCTCCGTTTCGCAGGAAAGCTGAGAGCCATCAACCCCGAGAACGGCTTTTTCGGCGTGGCCCCGGGAACCTCGGACAAGACCAACCCTTACGCCATGAGCACCATCGCCAAAAACACCGTGTTTACCAACGTCGGCGAGACCAGCGATGGCGGCGTATGGTGGGAGGGGCTCGACCCCCCCGAGGCCGGCGTCGCGCTGACGGATTGGCACGGCAAAACCTGGAAGCAAGGTATCGTCATCGGCTGGAAAGAGCCGCCGTCCTCTGCCGTACTCTCCCTCCCGCCGCGTGTCGGCTCGACGTGCGCGCCGGAAGTTTTGACCTGAATCTTATGGCATCAGGTCATCTCTCTGTCCGTTTTCTAATCTGCTTCTCCTCGGGCGGGTCGCGGGCGTGCCGGTGCCTATCCCGACCGTCTTCGGGCAGTAGGCGGGGGACACCCTTCAACCGGTGGCACGCCCCGAACCGGTCGCCAACCCATCGCGGGGCGAACACGCAGACCAATGACCGTCCACGCTCACACTCACACCTCGGGACAATTTCGAGCCTTCCATCAACTTGCCACGCATGTTTTGGGAATGTGGGAGTAAAGCGGAGTACCTGGAGAAAAGCCACGGAGGAGCGGGGAAAAGACGCCAACTCCACACAGGAAGGCCACACGGACTCCAACCCTGCGCCGCCGTGCCGCCCTCGTATTAGTTCATCGGAAGCCTTCCGACCCTGGAACGCATCCGGCCGCTTTCTTGCAGCGTGACGCGGTTGGCCAAGTTTGTTCTGAGCGCGGGTCAATGTGCATGTTGAAATTGCCGGTGCGCGACAACACGCGTGAAACACGGGTCCAGATTCCAGTCGGGGCCAAGGCTTGCGCTTCTCTGGGGCTTTTCCTGGTCTTGTTGTGGCAAATGATTCCCCACGTAATGCAAAAGTTGCCTTTTCGTTGACCAGCGCAGCTCTGGTAACATGCCAGCCACGGCGCGCCGATTGCGACTCGTTGCAACACCGACGCCCCGTTTGTCATCCGAACCGTCCTCAGAATCGGTTCCATTTGAGCTTGAATGAGGAAGAGACAAATGGTTTTTGTTTGTTTGTTTTTTTCCCCCCCTTGTTGCGAACAGGAAGCGGCACACCCTGCGCCCACCCCAACTCGCGCTTCTGTGCGCCGGCAGCTCAGTGCCCCATCATTGACCCTCAGTGGGAGAGCGAAGAGGGCGTTCCTATCGATGCCATCATCTTTGGTGGCCGGAGGCCGCAAGGTAGGTGCTGCTCTTTGCCGACGATATCGGACACATTTTTCATGAGGATATCTCCGCTCCGCACAAGCGTATATATATCTAGCGCACTTTAGAACAGCCACCGTTGTACGCAAAGTGCCGTACAAGGAGCAAAAAGTAGGCCCGGGGCACCGACCGGGCGGGTGCGTCGGGGCTCCGAGAGGTCAGGTGGGGCCAGGCCCTTTCAAGATTGAAAAACAAATAAGAACTCTAAAACGGGCCACTGAAGGGATGCCGGAGCGGGAGTGGTGCGCTCCCGCTTCCGAGTAACTCTCAAGAGGCGAGCGGCGGCATTCTGGACCCACTGGAGACGCTTGATGGAGGATTGGCTGATTCCAAAGGCAAGTGCATGACAGTAATACAGCGGCGATGTGACCAAGGCATGAATTAGTGCGCTCGAGAGAAAGGAGGGGCTTGACTTGAGGCGGCTGCCGAAGATGAAAGAAGCTGGATTTGACCACGGTCTAATTTCAAATCGTTGTCCCGTTTAAGAGCCAAATTTCAGACTGTTGGCTTCCACTAAGGAGCCTGGGAACTGTTTTGAATTGTAAACATTTTGCATCCAGGGTTTACTTGAAAGGCGGTCTCTTGAATACTCAAAAATTCTTGCTAATTCGTGCCCCTCGTCTGTCCAGTATACACAGGTCGATTTTTGTAGCGTGTATTTTTTTATTTATTTTTTTAAAGATTCGTAGTCTGAAATTTAAAACAAAATGGCAGACTGCCTGTTTTTTGTGCGTGTGTGTGTTCCCCCAGGGGAGGGCATGGCTTCTTTGCCAATCTACTCTTGATCCATACACGTGACTATCAAATTACATGTTGCTGAGCGAAACTAGTTATGAGAGCAGATGTTTCTTTCTTTTTTTGGGGGAGTCTTCTTCTTGGTCAATTCTGCGGCGTGAGGTTTGGCTGTGTTGTGCTGGCACAGCCCAATTGCAACATCTCCCCGCGTGGCAGCATTTCACAAAGAGATTTTTGTTTCTAAATAGAGGCCAACATCAGATGAAATTTTGCTTGCTTTCGATTTGGCCCACTTTTTTTTTTTTTCATCCCACCCTCAAATAGAGAAATAACGGCTTCGACTGTGCTTGTGCCCACATCAAATCAACGCTTTCCAGTTTGCCAAATTGTGGTCATGTGTTTCTCATTTCATGAATCTTCAGGGTGGAATCTGGTTTGCGTGCATCTCCAAAAGTCTCCACTTGGGCGCTGACCCCAATTAAGATTGTTGGGCCTTGGTTGTAAAATGCGAAATGCAGCCACACCTTTGACGCTTCCCTCAGCCATGTTCTCTCCCGTTGTTCGTCTCCTTCGCCTGGCTGGCATCTTGTGCTCACCGCGCCCCTCGCAGACCGCCAAGTAATTGCTCGATAAGCATTGAATGACGAAGGCGCCTTTCGTAGCGGCCTTAACTTCATTTCAAACCTCGATGCTTGGCGGAGGTCTATCGATAATCGATCGGAAGACAAACTATCGCGATGTATCACAGTAAAAGAATATTGTCGCTCATTATTTGAATGTTTTCTCAAATCGGATCTATTTTGGCTACCTTGAGCGGTGACGTATTTTTTGTGATGGTGAGGTCTTAAATGTGATCAAAGTGGCCTGTTGTGATTCCGCCGCTCCAATGTTGTCGTCATCAGGAGTCCCTCTGGTTTACGAGTCCTTCAACTGGCAACACGGCGTGTTTGTTGGGGCAGCAATGAGGTCTGAGGCCACGGCGGCCGCCGAGCACCAAGGTAACGCGCACGTGCGCACTAATGTCCACATCGGACATCAAGACGACGTGGTTTCATGTTCCCTTCAGGGAAGGTGATCATGCACGACCCCTTCGCCATGCGGCCGTTCTTTGGCTACAACTTTGGCGACTACCTCGCTCACTGGTTGAGCATGGAGACGCGAAAGGCCCCGACGCACCTCCCCAAGATCTTCCACGTCAACTGGTTCCGGAAGGACCCCGCCAGCGGTGCCTTCCTCTGGCCGGGCTTCGGCGAGAATTCCCGAGTGCTGGAGTGGATCTTCAAGCGCTGCGGTCGTGAGCGCCACGACGAGGGCGCCAAGAAGAGCCCCGTCGGCTGGTTGCCGGAGGACGGCGCCATCGACACCCGGGGGCTGGGCGCCGACGTCGACATGGGCGCCCTGTTCGAGGTGCCCCGGCACTTCTGGCAGAATGAGACCAAAGAGCTGAGAGCCTACTTCAGCCAGCAGGTGGGGGCTGATCTGCCCGCTCAGGTGGAGGCTGAGCTCAAGGCTCTGGAGGAGAGGGTTCACGCCCAATAAAGCCCGCGGCGAGTCAGCAACCACCCGCTTCGGGGGCAAACCTGCATTAGAAGACCGACGCAACGTTGGGTACACCCGCCTTCACCAATCATCGTGCCTAAATTCCATTGAGTTCAAATTGTAATTGCATTATATCACTCTGGTTGTATTCTGTAGAACTGATGTAGTGTAGGAAGCGACAGCGGATGGAAAAAAAAAGCTACCGTACTTTTTTTTTTTTTTGCTAGTTATGCTTGACGCCATTTGAGTTGTGCAGGTGTACCTAATGTTGTGGTCGCTGCGTTTTGAAGAACAGAAACGTTGGCCTCGCTTAAACAAAATATTTGTGCCTTTAAGAGGTTGGCTAAATGGAGGCCACCTTTGTGTGTGTATGTATGTGTGTGTGTGTGTGAGCGAGAGAGAAAAAGCCCACCGATGGCTTGTGCCCAACCTCCGCCGTGGAGGGAAATTTCTTCAGGGGCATGTGGCAGGAAAAGCTCATCATTCAGTCATGCAAATAACTTCCTCACCTACTTGACAACAATTCTGCTGTTGGTGCTGGGATGGAGGCTATATTGCTCCTGCCATCTTAAGTCACAAGAGATGGATCCAGATCCATCAATAGGACACCCAAATGTTTACAAGCTGTAACCCAAAGACCTTTGTATCGAAACAAAAAATTTATATATTTTTGTGCAGGGTCACATTGGGTCTAACCCGTAAAGATGTTTTGAAGTACATTTTTACGCGGCTCTTTGAAAAACCACCGCATAGAGCCGCGCTACATCTGCTCCTACACAGAATCTTCATAATCGTTTATATGAAATGGTTTTATTGCATCATTCCAGGTGACTTGAATTGTAAAGCGGACCAATTAATGCAACTGTGATCTATTCTTATTTAGGTATTAGAGTTATGCAATATTTTTCCCCCAATGCAGTGCAATGATATCTTGTAAGTGCCTCCAAGTCATTGTGGCAAAAAAAGAAGAAGAAATGCAGTAAAATCTGTCACATAATAAAATAAATTTTAAATGAGTAATTGTTCTTGTCATGAAGACATACATGAATCATCAATACGCCTTCGAAGGAAGACGTCATTTTGAAATTCGCGGCATTGCCACTTGCACACGTGACGCGTCCTCAGCTGGAGGCCGCCGGCTGGTGATTGGCGCCCGAACGTGGGCGGGGCTTGCACACGCTGCTCGCACTTCCTTGTTTGTGTGAGCACCGAGCATGCCCGGCAACGTCCTCCTCTTAGCGTCTCTCTGGAGATCCCGCCGGGGGAGGAACTGAACTTGTCTTGTCCGAACGGCTTCATCTTCGCAAGTCATGGCTGCCCACGAGCCGCGCGTCCATCGAGCTGTAAGTTTGCTCCATTTGTTCCCATCGCTTTCTGTGTTCTGGTGCTTCTTGGTGTTCGTTGGCGGATTCTGTTGATTCGAAGGGGGGCTCTGACAGGCGCGAGTCGCCCACATTTCCGCCCTGTCTGACGGAGTGGCGTTTTGCATTTGCTGACAGCTCGCATCCCGGGTGACAGCCTCTCAAATCGCGACCGGGAAATTAGTGTCAAAAGGACACGTCAAGCCATCTCTGTGATGAACGTTCGCTGTTGATGATGATGTTGTTCATTTCGAGGGGCTCCTAAGATTCATTTCGTGTGATGAGAGCGCCCCGAGGAGAAAACTTCACCGGCTGCCACTGCCTAACATGAATGTTTGTGGCCATGCAATGTGGGAGTAAGTCCCCGAAAAAGACAGACAAATCCGCAAGCGTGGATAGAGCGTGCAAATCTGATTTGAACTTCAACTTATCTATGAATGACCTGACCTGGCCCGTGTTTAAAATAAAAATACCGGAGTCCAAAGTGTTTGGCCACATTATCAAAACTCAATGGAAGACATAAAGAATGACACTTGTTTTAACGAGCATTTATTCCTTGAGATATACGTATAAGCAAGAGCCTTTAAACATGCTTGAAAGAGGAAAGAAAAAAAAAAAAGTCAAACGTTGACATGTACTTTAACTCCAATGATGCTTTTATTAACCGGACGATTTCTTTCTCCCGGCTTTCATTTGGCTTTTTTGAATTTTCCCGCCGCGGCTCCAGTCTTCAGCTTCTTTTTAGCAGATCCTTTGACTTCGGGCTCCTGGAGGCAGATAAAAGTTGGTCGCAGAGCAACTGTGATCTTGTGTCTCATCGGAGAAAAATCAAGAGTTCATTTTCAAACAAACACCCCTGAAGTTATCATTGGGAATAGCAAATAAACAAATACCAGATAAATTAGCATATGAACCGTGAATTAATGTCACTGTTATATATTTTTTTTTATCTACCTCAGCTAGAGATGTTTGTTCACTTCCTGTAAACACTGACTGGCAGTCTTTTAAGCGTTCAAAACATCCCGAATTCTAGCCAACCAAGGTTATTACAGTGAACGAAAACCAGAGCAATAACTAAAACTAAAATGGAAAAAACATGTATGTGAACGGAATTTAAAAAAAACAAACGACATCATACATTTATAAAACTAACTAAACCTATTACTGTCGCGAAAATGCCTTTTGTTCATTGACCGTTCATTTTAAATAACGTCCTTGTTATACCATGATTTGAGAATTGGAGTTTCCTGTCTTACGCAACACTTGGAAAGCTTTTTTCCATACACTCCAAAAATACTAGATCTATTAAAAAAAACAAACCCTAATCAAATAATAAAAGTGACAAGCTTCTTCTTCAAACGAAATGAATTGAAACGTCGAAATGAAATAAAAGCAAGACTGAAAGATCCCAAGCTACGAAAACCCTGCCGCATGCAGACTTCTGAGGCAGTGAACTCCTCGAGACACTAAATCGAAATAAAGCCGACTGAGCGAGCGAAATGAAGCCGACCCCCGAATCATTGACCAAAATAAAAATAAACAAATCGGGATGGAGACAACCAGCGGTAGTCCAATACCTTCCGTTTGGACGACAGCGACCCGCTGACCGAGAAGAAAGCGTCCAGTCGTCCCTGCGTGCTCCCCTGGCGACTCTTGACGATCTTCTTACACCCGTTGCGGATCCTGTCCTCGCTACAGCCACACACATTTACAGCGTTCATGTGAGCAACGAGCGCGTCATCCTGCGCCGAGGACGCTTTTCTTTTGGATTGCCGCCGCGATCGACTGCGACCAGCCCGTCGCCGCTAAATCGGCTTCATGCAAAAGGGGCGGCCGCGTGCTCGGGTTTTACCTGAACTGTTTTTCTTCACACATGAACCGTAGCAGCCCGCCCTCGTCCGGCTCGTTCCACTTGAGCTCCACCGCGGAGCAATCCACCACTTCAGGCTTGAGAAAAAGCTCGCGGGCCTCCTTGTACAGCCAGTTGTCTGGAGCCGGGTGCTTCTACATAGTCCCCAAAACCAAAGCAAAAGAAGGAGTCAAGCGCCCAAGCGGGGCGCGAGCAAGCTTTTTAACTTGAGCAGCCTTACATTTGGGTCAATGTTTTCCAGGATCTCCTCGATGCTGCCGTGCTGCCTGATCAGGTCGATGGCGCGCTTGGGACCGATGCCCTTGATGGTGCCGCAGTAGTCGCATCCCAGCAGAATACACAGGTCTATGAACTGGAGGGAAACGCATTCGGCAATGTATCCAACTCAAATCACCTGGCAAGAGTAGAATGCGCCTTTCAAATCGCAAAGGCTGCAATTTCGTTTCTTTTTTTGGGGCGCATTGGGGCCGAGGCCCGCAAGGCACGGCTCGCCGCCGCATT